TGGATAACGTGTTGTATGAATACGTGAATAGTATTCAACACTTCATACCAAACATCGCAACCAATGCTATACTCCATACGAAACAAGAGCTCAATAATAGACACTGTTATCGACAACTGGTCGACACTTTCCACCAAAACTGCTTTAATTTGAATCAAGTATTTCTAATTAACTGATTATTTATTTAACTCATAATATAATTTATTTTATTTATATTTTATTCACAGAATGAATATCTGTTGAGAAAATTAAATATTTTTGTGAATATTTGCGAACAAATGCGTGACTCGAGTGATGCGGACATTGCTGTCAACCGATTGATACAACACTGCGATAGAAATGTTGACTCAATATATTCACAAATTGTTTAATTACTTAAAACACATTTAAGTAGTAAATCACAGAAAATAAAAGACTATAGTATTAACAGAAGTTTTTTAAAACGTATTATTTAAATATTCTTTAGAAAAATATAGTTCTAGATAATTGATCATTATAATCAATTAGTAAATAAAGTAGTCCACTACAAAAATACTGTTTACATGTAATTATTATTATATTATTATTTCATAATTTTTTTTCTAAAAAGAAAGTATGTTTAATTAAATTCAAAATTTTAAAAATAATTTTTAATAAACAAAAATTTAAGAAATATTAAAACCATAATTCAAAAATTAATGATAATTTTTAAAATTTACATTATATGATAGTCTACGAGCATAAAAGGGTTATGTATTTTTCAATTCAAACTGTACACATAACATAATCGTTGCATTTATAGTATCTAATATGGTTTATTATTTTGAGAAATGCAATTATTATGTTATGTATACAGTTTGCATTAAAAAAATATATAACCTTTTAAGCACCCAGTGGATCATATTATGATCTTTAAACAATTTGGTCAAAGTTATCATGATTAACATTTTGCGTACAGTACTGAACCAACATGTTAGCAACCTTATTAGTCACGTGAGAGTTTATCAAATTTTCACAAATATTTTTCAATATGTATAACTTCCCGAAAGCGTAAGTATTCTGTAATTAATTTTAAAAAATTAGCTTTTAAATATTAATTAAATTTATTATTTTTTTTATAAATACTTGATTCAAATTAAAGCAGTTTTGATGGAAAGTGTCGACCAGTTGTCGATAACAGTGTCTATTATTGAGCTCTTGTTTCGTATGGAGTATAGCATTGGTTGCGATGTTTGGTATGAAGTGTTGAATACTATTCACGTATTCATACAACACGTTATCCATGTATTTGCGACCTTTCAGTATAGTCTCCAACTTTTCGACATACCTTTTAGAATAAAATAAAAAAGTAATAAATAAACTGTAAATAAATTATATTTAATTTTATAAACTAATTAATGAAGTTGTTTCTATTTATTATGGTAACATTATGGTGGCCAAATATTTTTTAAAAGCTCATACCTTTGTTTCTCATTGATATCATTAGTGGTGGCAATATTTTTCTGTGCCAATAGCACCGGTATATCTCTTGGATTCACCACTTCCATATCACCATCATTAATATATACCGGTTTACTTTGTATATAACCTGTGGGCTTATAACCTAAATTGAATTATTTTTAAAAATATAAAATTAATCCACCACATATAATTTTTAACTATTGACTAATGTATACCAATAAATTGTGACACTGGTAATTTAGCAATTGAAACATCACCATATTGCTGCGGTGTAGAGGTGTTTACATTTTTGCTGATATACTCAAACTGAGCCTGTAGAGTCTCTATATCTAAATCTTGGGTTTCACTATTTTCTATCAAGGCAACGCTATAACAATCACCTGGGTATAGAAATTATTTAAAAAACTATTTACAAAAACTACCTTAATACAGTTTATTGAGTTGTGCCCATTAAATTACATACCAAGGTAGGTCTTTCTGAGTATATCATAATAGGTGGCCGAGCTCAGTTCATCGGGTTTTGCTGATGTTGTCACATAAATATTGAGATCATTTCGTAGCAATTTCTCAAACATTGAACCTGATTATTTAATTCAAAATTTAATTTGGTAAATTGACTTGATTAAATATTTCTAACATTTATATAACCAGTATCAGTCTGTGCGAAAAGTGCAAACTTGTGTTACAAAACNAAATTAACTTTCAAATATTAATTAAATTAAATTTTATTTATGTAAATACTTGATTCAAATTAAAGCAGTTTTGGTGGAAAGTGTCGACCAGTTGTCGATAACAGTGTCTATTATTGAGCTCTTGTTTCGTATGGAGTATAGCATTGGTTGCGATGTTTGGCATTAAGTGTTGAATACTATTCACGTATTCATTGAACACGTTATCCACGTATTCGCGGAATAGTATTAAATTCTGTAATTCTTGAGTATACCTACAATTAAAATAATAATTTGTCATATAAAATAACATCATACAATCAAACAAAATACTTACTCAATTTCATGTGTGGTCTCAATTTGTGCTTGATGCATTTTCATATCCAACGGCTCCTTATTAATCTTTTCATTGACTTTTTTATATCCTATTTTAATTTGCAATTTAATTTATTTTATTAAAATTAAATCTTTATTATCTTGTATATTCTATATAAACCACGAAACATGTAATATACCTAAAAACTGTGAGGCAGGTAACTTAGTGATGGACAGGTCCCCAAATTGCATCGGGTGCTGTTGGTGAGGCTCCTTTTGGGGGTCGGGACCCGGGATATCCAACTGTTTTTTCATGTGATCAAACTGCTCCTGAAGGGACTCCTTTTGCAGATCCCGGTGCTCGCAGTCGTCCAACCAGCTAAAGGCAAAATAACCACCCAGGTACACTTTACGGGACTCGTCCCAGTCACACTCCCAGCTCAGTTCAGTAGCATTGGATGAGGTTATCGCGTAAACATTTATGTCAGTCGGCAGTAGTTTGAACATGGACCCTGATGATACGTTATATAGTAATTAGCTAGGTATAAATATTTTATTCATGTGCACAACAATGGTTTATTTACCCGATTCACACGCCTCTAAATAAAACACTAGTTTCGCAAATCGCTTGCTTTGGTGCATATCCTTGAGCGCAGCCACCAGTTCCTCCCCGTATAGGTATCCCCGCGGGAACGACACTATATCTACAATAGTAGTAAAATATGTTTTAAAATTTTTGTTAAACATTATTAATATAGAAGTAAAAATAAATATTATTAATAATAGTCAAACTAACCAGGACCACCATGGTCAATGAAATATACAAACACGTTATCATTGGGTCCACTATTCACCACACGTTTACCCTTTTTGACTAATTCCGGGTCCCCTTTAAGTACACCTAAAAAGTTCTGTTTTATAATAAAAATAGATTTTTATAATAATTTTTTTAATTAATATTATTTTATATGAACTTTACTTTAGGCGTGACTTCATCGCCCGTGTAGTCCTTGGGTACCCCCTTATAGACATCAGTGCCGTTCACTTTTTGTACGACTATACCGGGTGTAGGGTTTGATTTATGGTAAGCCAGGTCGTCGTAGTGCATGACTATTATATTCTCATCGGGGATACCTTGAGCATGGATTACTTGGTAAGCATGGTACACGTTTGCCTAGTTACGAATAAATAGTTTAAAGTTTTTAAAATATTTATTAAAACTTGTTTTGTAATTATATTATATTTAGTATTATGTTAATAAATAAATATTAACAAACTTATTATTAATTTAATTATGATATATTTATTTACGATTTATTACCTGTATACTATAACCACCGCCTTGGTAACCTTTCCATCCGGCGCATAATACTACCCATGTTTTACCAGGTTCATCGGAAAATGGCAGTCCATTTACCGACAAATAAAATAAGCCTAATAATAATATTATTTTCATATTATTTTATTTGTTTAGAAATAATACAAAATGAATTATAAGTATAGATTTTATATATTGTATAAAAATAAGATAAACTACTTGAGCACCTTGTGACCACTTAAGATTATTAAGAAATTTGATATTAA